TTTTTTATTTCTTAAAGTCTATCTTCAAGGTTCGCCATTTTGTAAAACATTTTGCATAACTCAATTTTGTTTTTTTTTTTGGTTGTTAAGAGGAATGTTCAAGCTTTAATTTGCGATTTTTTTCATCCCAATACGATGATTTTTTGCTGAGTTATTGCTATTCAAAGATGTTAAAAAATTGTGCTAAAGTTTGGTGGCCGTTTTTTTTGTCGGATGAGTGTATGTATATATATATATATATTATTTTTATAAAGGTTGTCAAATATTTTAACTTAACTTTATGCAAAATTTATTCCATAAACTTCTCAAAAATAGTATTTATATCATGAAACTAGATAAATGCAACTGACAGATAAAGGTTTTGAATTATATCATTGTACAAATATTGATTTTTACACTTATTGTATGAAGATGAGGAATGATGTGATTACCTGTAACCATAATGCGCCTTCTAAACGACTTACGATTCCTATTGGAAGGTAAGACCCTGATGTCGGGTCGTTCTTTGGTGATTCTTTGTCGTGGATGCGGCACCGGCGGAATATCTTGTCGCTTGCGACTTGCTGTCGCCAAGACATTATTGCCGTCCCCAGTTGCCGATGTTGCCATTGTCGTCTTCTGATCCTCCGACTGCAACCATTGAGCTGCAACATCCTGCGCCGACTCTTGCTCCTGTTCCGGCCGCGACGGCGGCACTTCTCCAAGAACTATCATGTGAGATTCGCCGCTTGCGTCACCTGAAAAAATTCAGATTATAATTCACAAGATAATACTTATTCAATTTTCAGTTTCAATTCCCGAGACAATTAATCTTTTAATTTTTTATTTATTGTTCTTATAAATATAATTTTATCGATTATATTGTGCAATTTTTTATAAAGTAAAAGGTTTAGAAAGTGACAGTTTTATTAAAAAAACGGAACATTTCATTTTTATTAAATTATTTTTTTTTAGTGAGAATTATTTAAAGAGCTTAATCCTTTAATTACTGAAAAATAAATAAATCCTTAAATAATTCCGAAATTTTTAAATTTATAACTTAAAGCTTGAGTTAAACATCTTAGATGTACAAATTTTTAGATTTTTTTAATCCAAAAATTAACTTGTGGCCAAAGTTCTAATTACAAAAAATATTCCATATAATATTCTATATACAATATATGTGTACATGTATTCGTTCAATACAGACTGCCAATTTAAAGTTCTACAGCTAATTGATAGAATATCTTAATAAATTCTCTTGAACATGAGATTAAAACACCTTTTGTTCGTGCCCCACTTATAAAAGATTTCTATATATATACTGGGTGTCCCACCAAAAGTGGCCACCCCCTTTTATCTTTTAAATTAAAAGAGATAGACCATAACAAATATATAATATATCAAATTAAATGGTTCAAACTAAACTCTATTGTGAGCATAATAGTTGCTTACAAAAGCTATTCGTGTTAACGAACGGAAAGGTATGCATAATTTTTTTTATAATAATGTGGATATTTTGATGTAAGAAAAGTTGTAGCGCTATTTGAAAAGAATACAACGATGTATGATTTAATATAAATATTTTACATATTATATGAGTTTTATCGGCTTGAAATATCGCGGGCAACGTCCACCTTTTCACTTTCGGCTCTGCGATATGGCCAACTTCTGACTCGTGCGTTAGAAATTGACGTATGTCAATTGAAATTGTAGCGCTGTTAATTATTAATTAATTATTGAAGTTGGCCATATCGCAGGGTTGAAAGTGAAAAGGGCCGAAAGTGACAAGGTAGACGTCGCGATATTTCAAGCCGATAAAACTCAAATAATATGTAAAATATTTATATTAAATCATACATCGTTGTATTCTTTTCAAATAGCGCTACAACTTTTCTTACATCAAAATATCCACATTATTATAAAAAAATTATGCATACCTTTCCGTTCGTTAACACGAATAGCTTTTGTAAGCAACTATTATGCTCACAATAGAGTTTAGTTTGAACCATTTAATTTGATATATTATATATTTGTTATGGTCTATCTCTTTTAATTTAAAAGATAAAAGGGGGTGGCCACTTTTGGTGGAACACCCCGTATATATACTTTTTATTATATATATATGTATATATAATTAAAAAAATAATATATATATATATATATACAGAGACAATGTCAGGACTTACGAAGCAGTGGCTGCCTTTATTTAACAATACATTTCCTGATCGTACGCTCATTTCAAAGTCTACTGTTCAGCGAACTGTAATTCGATTTCAACAATCAGATTCAGTTAAAGATGTGCAAAATCCAACCGGGTAACTTCCCAGTGGTGCACACCGAGTAATACTAATGCTGGCGGTACTGTACTTCTCGAGCCTCATAACTCGGAAAATACTTAAAGAAACTTTATTAAGTATACTGGAAAAAAACTTTATTATAGTGTTTTGAAAAGCTCTCGAGGTCAGCTACAAGAATATGCAATCAAAAATAGAGGTTTTCATTTTAAAATTTTAAAGTGATTTTTACGTGACTTTAATAACGTTATCTGAGGTCACATTAATATTGCCATGTAATGCGTCACTTAAAACTCAATAACTTTTATATGGAACATTTTTCTCGAAAATGCTTTATTTTCGAGATATTTGACTTTTTGGAAAAGTTCCCGGATATTTTCCAAGACTTTTTTGGACACTATGTACAATAAGATATATATATATATATATATATATATAATT